GGTGGTGTCTGGTTATTTGTTAATCTAGCCACAGTGCTAAATAAAAACCTTGGATTGTTTTGGTTATTTTTTATGTGTTTGTGGATTTGCTCGGCCCTGGCAGCTTTTAGAGCCTCTCTATAGCTGGACATACTGTTTTTCCATGCAATTCTAAAAACTTCCAAGTTAGTTTTTCTCCATTTGCGCTCAAGACTACGAGTTTCTTTCTTGAGAGAATGAGTATTACTGTTGTACCATGGCGCAGTATGTTTTTCTCTAACCTTTTTCAATTTGATGGGGGCAACAGCTTCTAATGTATTAGAGAAGATAGTGCCCATGTTGCTAGTCATTTCGTCTAGTTCATGTGTATTTATTGGTACACAGAGCAGTTGAGATAAATCAAGCAGGTTATTTCTGAATCGGTCTTTGGTGGCTGGAACAATAGTTCTGCCCGGACAATAACAAGTTCACTCTAGTAATTTAATACTTAATTTCTTGCAAACAATATTGCTGATAAATAGTGTAAAGATCTAATCTGAAAGGTGTATTTATTGTGCCACCTTCTGGTTAGCGTTGTCAGAACCCACTTTAATGGTTTATTTGTGCCAATCAAAAGAGAGGAAATTACCACAAGATTTGTCACTTTTTTTGTGTCGGATATTTAAAAGGAAGTAGAAATATGTCTCTGCTTTGCGCAAAGCCTTTCAACCTGCTAATGTCAAAATGGTGGAGTCATTCAATAGAAGCCAGAGCTGTGAACTGTGTACATCTGTGACCTTAAATGTGCTCTGTGTACTGGAAATGTCAATATGCTTGTAATTAGTCTGTCACCTTGGAGTAAACACCATGAATCAAAAATCTATTTTCTTTTCAGATGAGACAAAGCTGGTAGAATATTAGTTGCATGTTAGTAGTACTAAATCTCCATGCCACAAAAAAGCATTGTTATCTAATGTAACAAACAGTCCACTGAAGGCGAGTTTAAGATAAACCCAAGTGCAGCTTTATTCCAAAGTAATCCAAACATCCAAACAAACGAAGAAAGACTTGACTTGAACAGACTTGACTTGGCATGAACAGACTTGACTTGGCATGAACAGACTTGAAAAACTCACCAACAGCAGGTTACACTGATCAATACTCGACAGGAGATAATTGCAACATGAGGGCTATTTATAACAAACAATACAGGTCACATGACAAGAATCAACCAATGAGAGACAAGACACATGACTGAGACAACCAATGAGAACATGACACTAAGGAACCAATTCTCTTCCAGTGACCCTGCTTCAGTGTGGAAAGGTCTGAAAGACATCACCAATTACAAGACACCATCCCCCAGCACTGTGGAGAATCAACAACTGGCAGACGATATGAACTAGTTTTATTGCAGGTTTGAAAAAACACCATTAACACCACCTGCAACCCCTCTCTCCCCCACTTTAGATCAGTGAAGATGATGTGTTTCAGGTCTTCAGAAAGAACAAGAGAAGAAAAGCACCAGGCCCAGATGGCGTCACACCAGCCTGTCTGAAAACCTGAGCTGACCAGCTGGCCCCCATCTTCACACAGATCTTCAACAGATCACTGGAGCAGTTCGAAGTCCCCTCATTCTTCAAACGCTCCACCATCATCCCCGTCCCAAAGAAACCCAAAATTACTGGACTTAATGACTACAGACCTGTGGCTCTAATGTCTGTGGCCATGAAATCATTTGAAAGACTGGTTTTGGCTTATCTGAAGGACATCACTGGACCCCCTGCAGTTTGCAGACCAGTATCAAACAGGTCTGTGGATGATACATGGGACTGCACTACATCCTGCAACATCTAGACAGACCAGGGACTTGTGTGAGGATCCTGTTTGTGGACTTCAGCTCGGCTTTTAACACTATCATCCCAAACCTCCTCCTGCCCAAATTAACTCAACTCTCTATGCCCACCTCCATCTGTCAGTGGATCAACAGCTTCCTGACAGACAGGCAGCAGCTAGTAAAGCTGGTAAAATTCTCATCCAGCACCCGTACGATCAGCACTGCCGCCCCCCAGGGTTGCGTCCTCTCCCCACTGCTCTTCTCCCTCTACACCAATGACTGCACCTCTAAAGATCCTTCTGTCAAGCTCCTGAAGTTTGCAAACGAAACCACACGGCCTCATTCAGGATGGTGACGAGTCTGTTTACAGACAGGAGGTTAAAGAGCTGGTTGTCTGGTGCAGTCTTAACAACCTGGAGCTGAACACGCTCAAAACTGTGGAGATGATCATGGACTTCAGGAGGAACCCCCCTGCTTTCCCTCCACTCACCATCATGGACAGCACTGTAACGACAGTGGAGACATTCAGGGTCCTGGGCACCACGATCTCTCAGGACCTGAAGTGGGACACTCACATTAAGTCCATTGTTAAAAAGGCCCAGCAGAAGCTGTACTTCCTTCGCCAGCTGAGGAAGTTCAACTTGCCACAGGAGCTGCTGAAACAGTTCTACTCCGCCATCATTGAATCCGTCCTCTGCAGTTCTATAACTGTCTGGTTCAGCTCAGCTACCAAATCTGACCTCAGAAGACTTCAGAGGATAGTCCAGACTGCTGAGCGAATCACTGGTACAACCCTCCCTACTCTCCAAGAACTGTACTCATCCAGAGTGAGCAAAAGGGCTGGCAAAATCACTCTGGACCCCTCACATCCAGCCCACTCCCTCTTTGAGCTGTTGCCATCTGGTCGACGCTACAGAGCACTGAGCACCAGAACGGTCAGGCACAGGAACAGTTTCTTCCCTCAGGCAATCCATCTCATGAACACTTAACAATAAACGTGGACCACACAACACTATTATACATTATTTATTTAACACACATACTCATTTACATTTCAAATTTGCACATATACCTGTACATACATAATTATCTATATTATATATTGAGTTTTTGCTATTTTGTACATGGTCTATTTTGTATATTATTCTTTTTATTATCTGTCTCCTGTCTTGTCACTGTCATTCTGTTGCACTGTGGAGCTTCTGTCACTAAAACAATAAAGCTCATTCTGATTCTGACACATGAACCAATAGCAAGATAACATGAGGGCAAGGGAATCACATGACTAGACAGGGACCATGACTAAACTACAAAATAAGGCATGAAAACATGAACATGAAACAAAACCCCCGTTACATATCCCCCCCTCTAAGAGCGGCTCCAGACGCCCTAACAAAACCCAACAGGTCCAGGAGGGTGGTAGAGCGAAGGCGGAACAGGGGGAGGGATGGAGGGCTAGAGGAGCATGGAGCCATGGCAGAGCAGGCAGGGCAGGAAGCCAAGGCAGAGCAGAGGACCACCAGGTCAGCAGAACATACAGAAGCAAAGATACCCACAATGGAACAGATGACCACCACAGCAAAGCAGGTATCCACCAAGGCGGATCAGGCGGAACTGGAACAGAGACCACAGAGAGGTTAACAGCACCCTCTGCTGCCGTAACAGGAAAGGGCGAGGAGAGTTCATGGACGACCTCCGTGGCTGTGACAGTGCAGACAGAGAGTTCATGAGTGGCCTCCGTGGCAGGACAGGCAGAGAGTTCAGAAGCAGACGCCACCACCTCGGGAGGTTGTGCAGCGGAAGCCGCCACCTCTGAGGCAGACTTGTGGCCAGGAGAGGCCTCTGGGGCAGACTCGTGGACAGGAAAGGCCTCTGGGGCAAACTCGTGGACAGGAGAGACCTTGGAGACAGACTCATGGATAGAAGAGGTCTCTGGGGTGCAGTGTGCAGCACAAATACTCAGGATAGCTACCGCCATAACAGGAACTACTGAGGATAGGGGAACAGTCTCTGTGATAGCCCGTGCTGAGGCCCTGGGGATGCCAGCTGCTCGCACTGACATCAGAGGTGGGTCCATCACACTGGCAATCAGTCCTGGCCCAAGCTCTGCATCCGCAGGAGCTTGGGTACTATAGCCCCCCCCCCCCCCCCCCATCATAATATAATGAATAATGTTAGTTAAGTTGTGTTATCATTATCAGAAAACCCAGCCAAGAAATATGATTGCTTTTTATGAAGAAATAGTAAATTCAAGTCATAATTTAGTGAACACGTTTGCAATGATACATTCATCTTTAACTTAAGATCTGGCATAACATGTTTGCAGCTTATTTTTCCATCCTAATTCTTGCAAAATTTCCTTGTCTGAAGTAAATTTTAATTTTTTTAAAGATTGTTTTAAAGGTGGTTTTATTTGCTTGAAATAAAGCCAATAAATTTCTCGGAGAAGATATACACACTCACACTTTCATTAAATTTACTGTAATCTCTGGGAGTATAAAATGAGCTCATCTCTTGGCAAGTAGCTCTCAAACTGAGTTAAACTCTGATTGGCCCACTGTAATCCTCTTTTAACACAAATTATGTCATTTTCTTGACTAAAACATTGAAATATTGTCACAATGCCTTTGATTGGTGACATTAATCTGGAAACTTGAGTTACTTAATCACTGGATTGTGCTGATTACATACAACTTAGTTTGTATGGTTTGGTGTAATGTTACTATATATTTATTAATGTTATTAATATACATTTTTTACTGTATTAATTTTACTACATATTCAGCAAGGACAGATTAAATTGATCAAAAGTGAGAGTGACAGTCAAAAAGCTACTAAAAATGCTGTTCTTTTGAAATTTTTCATCAAAGAATCCTGTATGTATAACGGGATACACATAAATATTCAACAGTTTTTACCTTAAGATTATGTTTTTTGAGCACCAAATCAGCATATTAGAATGATTTCTGAAGAATCATGTGACACTGAAGACTGGAGTAATGGCTGCTCAAAATACAACTTTGCCATCACAGGAATAAATTACATTTCAAAATATATTTAAATAGAAAATAGTTATTTCAAATTTGAATAATTTTTTTCTATGTTAGTGTTTTTACTGTATTTTGCCGAGCATATGAGACATTGTTAATGTTAATGTCCCAAAACTTTTCTTAAAGGTGACATATCATGAAAATCTGACTTTTCCAGGTTTTAAGTGCTATAATCAGGTCCCCGGTGCATCTACCAACCAAGGAAACGTGAAAAAGATTAACCCAGTAACTTTGTTTTGGTAAGCATTTTGCTACAAGCGGCTGAAAAAACGAGCGCGTCTGATTTCGCTCCCCTAGTGACGTTGCAAAGGGATTTCATTATAATATTACCGCCCCTTAATCTGTAAACGTTTCCACCGACGGCGCCATCATTTGATTTCGCAAGCGACAACGGTGTACCAGTTCTAACATCATGGCGAAAGTTCGAGCAAAGCATGCTAACTCTTCTGTCTTTGGCTGCACAGATGAGCACAGAACACTGTTTAGAGTCCCAGCCTCAGAGGAGACAAGAGAGCAGTGGATTTATTGATTTATTTATTGTATGTTGCTGCTTCCACACAGATCTAAAATAAACATGTGATTTATTTCCCAGCTGCTTACCTTCACAGACATTAACCGACTGTTTTTGTAACTTGTGTGTTTTTAACGCAAACTTGTGTGTGAATGAGAACTTAGTTTAGTACTCACATGCTGTGACAACTCCTTTCTGTCCGTGTGCTTCAGATGTGTGCACTCAGAAAACCATATTTCAGAAGTTTAAACTAATATGGTTTAAAACGCATGATTTCAGCTCGATAAAAATGATAATCAGAACCAAAACAGATGTTTTTAGCAGGTATGAGCTGTAATGGCACAGCTCTATTCTGGAAAAGTGGGCGGGGAGCAGCAGCTCATTTGCATTTAAAGAGAGGCGCGAAAAACGGCGTGTTTCTGCTTCCACTCAAAATAGGCATTTTCAAAATGATATAATAAATTATCTGTGGGGTATTTTGAGCTGAAACTTCAGACACATTCTGGGGACACCTGAGACTTATATACATATTGTAAAAAGGGGCATAATATGTCTCCTTTAACTATTAACAGTACACTAGCCTATAGATGGGATTCAAGCAACAGACATGTACTTTAAACCAGAAAACGCCCATGCCGTGCATATTTTCTAATGTTACATATTTTAATTGTAAAATTTCCATACACAAGCCGTACATCTTGAATGCCTCAAGGAATTTCTGATGTTTTCCATTTTCATGCAGTGTGATGAAGTGACAAGGTGAAGTTTGCAGGCACCCATATGGACCTGCTGTCTCGTTATTACATCAAATACACTTCTCTTGTGAAAATGATATAATAAATTATCTGTGGGGTATTTTGAGCTGAAACTTCAGACACATTCTGGGGACACCTGAGACTTATATACATATTGTAAAAAGGGGCATAATATGTCTCCTTTAACTATTAACAGTACACTAGCCTATAGATGGGATTCAAGCAACAGACATGTACTTTAAACCAGAAAACGCCCATGCCGTGCATATTTTCTAATGTTACATATTTTAATTGTAAAATTTCCATACACAAGCCGTACATCTTGAATGCCTCAAGGAATTTCTGATGTTTTCCATTTTCATGCAGTGTGATGAAGTGACAAGGTGAAGTTTGCAGGCACCCATATGGACCTGCTGTCTCGTTATTACATCAAATACACTTCTCTTGTGAACCTATAAACTAACCGAACTGTATGTTTTTGTTCTCCTAATTGTTCTACTAAAACACACCAAAGCACTTGTGCTTTCCGCACACACGCAAATGCCCTACAGCTGCTGGCTGCCAGTGTGTCTTAAATGAGCAAAATAAACGCAAAATGAAAAACACTCCATATGATGAAAAGGCCTCTTGCTGAAAGAGCTTCATGATATGAAGACTGAATGACTGCCGGCTTTACTTTGTGCATCCCTCTTATACTATGTCTGCTTGAAATCAAGGCTCTGCACCAGATGCTCTCACAACCTGCATTCCTGCAGCAGGAGCGTGCATAGTTCACTCATCCTATCAGCCGGCTCAATTTAAATATTTTGCTGTGCTTCT